TCCTGTGACAGTGGCGGAACCAGGGGAGGGCAAATAGGGCATTTGCCCCTCCCAAACGGCAAAATTTTAACATTACGCCTATAGACGGTGCATGGAAAGAAACGCTAACTGTTATGGTTTGCCGCTCCCAAAACTCTGAGCTGGATCCGCCAGTGTCCTGTGATTTGCATAACGCAAAAGGAGAGACATGTAGTTTACTTACGGGTGATAATCGTTGGATTATTAGATTGAATGAATTGCTAGATTAGATTGAACGATAACAGTTTTTAGATTTGCAAGAGCGGTGATGTATTCGTTTGAAAAAAAAACTTCTGAACAACCGATTGTGACCATGATACGTGGCAAACAAATACTCACTAAAATACTAAAATTGACTGAAAAAAAATTATCGTTAAGTTCCAATGTGGCATGATGAACTACCTGTGTGGCATGGCATCAACTGTTTTTAAGGAATTTCCTACAAAAGAAAGTAACATTTAACCTGTGCTGATTTTAATCAATGATCGAGGAGAACGTCATTTAAAATACCAAAGCTAAAAAAATTTCATCGAAAGAACGCCGCATAAAATTTTATCATGAAACAGACGCATGGATATGCTTAGATGTCACGTGCAAAGGTCAAGTGTAATCAATAATCAACGCGTTTCAGCCGCGAGTTGGGAGCGCAAAGCGTTTTCCAAGCGGGACGCGTTTTCGACGCGAGTTGTGAGCTGAATTGCAAGTGAAAACACAGCGAACGAAGCGATTTCCGCGCTTGACGCGAGTTCGACGCGATTTGCAAGCGTGTGCTGTGTTCCGGCCTTAAAAAAGCAATCGAACGAAATGGATATCTACCAACCAAATCGACACAGACCAACCCAATACCCACGGGTCAAAATACCTACCTATCGGAATTCGAACGCTCATAGAGAATTACTTGCCAGACCTGCAAATACAAAGTCTGGCCAACAAAGCACCATGAATCTCCAAATCAAGACAAAAAGAAAATGAAGTCTGCGACCGGATACCATTCTCATTCTTGTAATAATTAGCATCATTGAATAGCTAGCAAAATTTATTCCAGAACACGATTCTACAAACCAGGGGCGGATCCAGGAAAACTCCAAGGGGAGGGTCATGAATCCAAGTGGTGCCCCTACCTATACCCAAAATTAAAAACTCAACGGATTTCGTCCACTTCATTTTGGTGGTGCCCCATTTTCAGTTTTTTCTTTTTAATTTTTATTTTTAGTCAGTATCTTAACTTTTGCCACAACCACATTTACCAATTGTAAGCAAGTATATATGAATGTGCTATGTGTATATGTGTTGTGGACGCTGAGTAGTGAGTACTTACCAGGAACGTTTTCAGGTAAGCGAATCGTTGTCAGTCCGACGAACTTGACCCTGGCGTCTAAAGGGTCTGTCCTTGACACTTCAGGCTTGTCAGGGGCACCAAAGTCCTTCCAGGGACACCACAAACCTGTCAGGGGCACCTACGGCCTTGTAGGGGCGCCACAGGCCCGCCAGGAAGCAGGGGCACCACAGGTCTAGCAAGTATACACGACAGGCCTGTCAGGGGCACAACGGGCCTGTTGGGCCCATGAGCACCCCTAGGGGCAGGGGCACCACAGTCCTTCCAGGGGCACCGCAGGCCTGTGAGGGGCACCAGCGGCCTAGCAGGGGCACCAGTCAACACAGGCCTGCCAGGGGCACCACAGACCTGCCAGGGGCACCAGAGGCCTGCCAGGAGCACCACCGACCTTGCAGGGGTAACTTGGGCCTGTCAGGGGCACCACGGGCCTGTCGAGAGGCACTTCAGGCTTTTCAGGGGCACCATAGTCCTCGGCCGGGCGCAGGGGTAGCAGGGGCACCAGAGGCCTGCCAGGGGCACTACAGGCCTAGCAAAGGCACCACTGGTCTATCAGGGGCACCACGAGCCTGTCATAGCCAGGCATCTCAGGCTTGTCAAGGCCCAGGGGCACCACAGGTCTGTGAGGGGCACCAGCGACCTAGCAGGGGCACCAGTCAACACAGGTCTGCCAGGGGCGCCACAGACCTGCCAGGGGCACCACAGACCTGCCAGGGGCACCACCGGCCTCGCAGGGGCACCTTGGGCCTGTCAGGGGCACCACGGGCCTGCCGAGGGGCACTTCAGACTTTTCAGGGGCACCAGTCCTCTTAGGGCGCAGGGGTACCAGCGGCCTAGCAAGGGCACCAGAGGCCTGCCAGGGGCACCACAGGCCTAACAAGGGCACCACGGGCCTGTCAGGGGTACCTCAGGGTTGTCAGGGCCCAGGGACACCACAGTCCTTCCAAGGGCACCGCAAGCCTGTCAGGGGCACCAGAGGCCTGCCAGGGGCGCCACAGGCCTGCCAGGGGCACCACAGGCCTAGCAAGGCACCACTGGCCTGTCATGGCCGGGCACCTCAGGCTTGTCAGGGCCAAGGGGCACCACAGTCCTTCCAGGGGCATTACAAGCCTGTCAGGGGCACCAGAGGCCTAGCAAGGGCACCACAGGCCTACCATGGACACCACAGGCCTGCCAGGGGCACCACCGGCCTTGCAGGGGCGCCTCAGGCCTGTCAGGGGCACCACGTCCCTGCCGGGGACACTTCAGGCTTGTCAGGGGCGTTACAGTCCTGTCAGGGCCCAGGGGCACCAGGCCCGTGGTGTCCCTGCTAGGCCTGTGGTGCCCCTGGTGGTCCTGTGGTGCCCCTGTCAGGACTGTGATACCCCTGATAGGCCGGTGGTGCCCCTGGCAGGTCTTTGGGCCCCCGGGCCTCAAGGGGGGGCCATGACCCATGTGACCCCCCCCTTGGATCCGCCCCTGCTACAAACCAATTATTGTTACGTTTGTTGGCAAGAAACATCAGCCGGCATATATTCGCACGCGGGACCCGCCACGCTCCCGTCACAAAAATATGCGACATCGTTTTGTTTCACAAAAGTGCGGAGGAGTTCCATCATATTTTTTCCTTTTTAATAACATTATACTGCGTAGAAATTCGTGCTTTATCGACCAGCTATCTATAATTGGCATTTTATTTTGCGCGTCAATAGGAAAACTTGATACTAAAACTCAAAGTTTATTGTTGTCAGGCCCAGCAATGCCGAATGAGCCGCGAACTATGAACTAGAAAGTTGAAAGGCTGCAACAAAACAGCGTTCTTGTTCTTCGAATAATAAATAGCATTAGATAGTTCATGAAATGAAATTCTTGATTCAATTTATCGTTCCCTTTCTTCTTGGCAAAAGCAACAAATCTGCACACAGTACACGCCGCTCTGATAGGCTCCCATTGCGTTAATATGCAATGACGGCCCTTCTGTTCCACAAAACATGCGATTAACCCTCGCCGGCACAGGCCATTTTGAGTCCTTCGACAGCACAAGGGGGGGGGGGAGTTGGTACGACCCTGTACGACCCTGTACTGTGGTACGACCCTGTGCCGGTGAGGGTTAAACTATGTGGGATTATCCCTTATTTTTAGTGTCGTTTTGTGCAGAATTGAACGCTTTATCAAAAGCTTGTGAAAAATCGACATTTTATCGTGCATGTCGATAATAAAATCAATAGAAACGTAGGTCTGGCTAGCAATGCTCCATGGGCCTCCAAATAAAGATATGTAGGGAAAATGAAATCTGCGACGAGCAGGGCTGCGGAGTCGGAGTCGGAGTCGGAGTCGGAGTCGGTCGGAGTCGACAGTTGTGACCGGAGTCGGAGTCGGAGTCGGAGTCGATTTTAGAAACCCGAGCCGGAGTCGGAGTCACCGAAAATCTGTCGAGCTAGGTCTGCGGAGTCGGAGTCGGGAGTTGGAGTCGGTCGGAGTCGACAATTCTGCCCGGAGTCGGAGTCGGAGTCGGAGCTGGTTTTTGAAAACCGGAGTCGGAGTCGGAGTCGGAGTCGCCGAAAATCCATCGACTCCGCAGCCCTGGCGACGAGGTATCCTCATCCTTCGAATAATCATTATCATTGAAAAGCCCGTAAAATATTTTCCCGGTTGTGATTTTAAAACCAATATATTCTTCCGTTGGCTGTTCGCAAAAAAAATAATCAATCATGGGGTTCATCGTTCACGGCCACGCCCCGCTCTCATCGGGGAAATATGCAGCATGGCTTTGTTCCACAACTAGTGCCGTGAAGTGATAGCAGATTTCCCTTTTAATAGCGCCATACTGTGAAGAATTGAGCACTTTATCGGACACCTTCTTGATCTAGAATCGGTCGATTGCATTGTGCGTGTCAACATGAATCTTGACATAACTCGAAGTTTATTGTTATCAGGCCCAGCAATGCAGAATGAGAGCCGTGAACACTGAACTATGAACGAGTAAGGAAATTGAAATCTGTGACGAGATGTTATTTTGATGTTTCGAATACCTAATTAGTACTTAGTAGGTGCCAGTGAATGACCCGTTCGGACACGATTCCAGATTCAAATTGTTATTGCTCTGCTTCTTGGCAAAAGCAATAAGTCTGCACACATCATGGGCCACAGTGCACGCTCCCATAATCCCATTGCTATAACATGCCGTAACATGCAATGCAATGTCGGCTGGACATTCCCTCTGTTACACAAAAAGTGCGATGAAGTGATGGCGGATAATCTCTTGAATTTAGTGTCAATCTGTGTAAAATTAAACGCTGTATCGAATGCTAGTCTAGAATCATATGTCAATGGTGTCCCGTGTCTGTCAATGCAAAATTGCACTGCAAACTTGAATTTTCTCATGGGACCGGCCGCCGGCAGGCCGAGCGTCACGTGACCCCAATCTCGGGAGCCGGTCAAGGTCACATGGCCCGAGTACAGTTAGTAGTTCCCAGATTCGCCGCCAGAGTAGCGCCACTTGGAACGAAATAAAAGAATGCTACATTGCGCGGTAGACTTTTAAAATGAACTTGAATATTTCTTCTTTGCCGACAGAACCCCAATGTCCCCGCTTGCATTGCTCTTGGACCCTAACGCCTGGCAGGAACTTTGGCAGTTTGCGCAACAACTGTGTGGTGAAGAAAAAAACTTTACGCCCGGCCGACACCGCAGACCTCGGCTACCAAATCGCGCTTGGTTGGCATATCTTGCTCTCGCAATTCCCTAACCTTGAACCCACGCTGGTTTTCAAATGTCTGGTTTTTGCCGCGGCGTAGATTCAGTGATAATTGTGGAATTTTATTAGTTTCACTGTAACTTGGGTGGGGTTATCGATAAATTTTGATAGTGGACCTAGATCTTTACCGTAATTCCTCTTGGTTCGTAAGTATTTGTGGCGGACTGGTAAGTGAGGTGTGCGCACAGTTTGCCTCAGTTTGATTCTCCGGACTCGACTCAATTTCAAATGATACATTGACTGCCTTTTTTTGTAGAATTTCATGAGACATGTCATATAATTCACTTGTTTGCCCTGCTAGACCCACGTGTGAGGCTCGAGTTTGAATTTACTGCACAATATGAAAGGGTTCTTGTAGGTACTATCTGTTGGGCAGAATTTAGTTCAGGCCGGATATACTTGCAAACAGTCAAAAAAAAATACAAGTTATTCAGCGTATATTACTTGATATAATGAGTGGTTACTTTTGCCATGATCAAATAATTAAAACATCAAATAATTTAAACAATACAGAGATTCCGAAATGCGGGCGAGTTGCTCAGGTCCCTGCAGGGTGGAGGGTGGACCCAGGGGGGTGACACGGCTATTCGCGCAATGTATTAATTTATGGGCCGCGCGGGGCCTCGCGATGACGCGGCTGGAGGCAAATGCTCAGCGCGCTAGGATACTTCTGGCGGGGCGGGGCTGAACGGTGTGCAATGAATGGGTTATGGTCGGGCAGACAGAGATGAGGTATTGAATTTGAATTGACATCAGCAATCGGGTGGGGAAGGAGAACGTTTCTAATCGAGCTTGGGATGGGGAAAGCCGAAAATATCGCGATCGGCTCATAGCTCAGACAGGGCCGGGTGCCGTACCATGTGTTGTATATCTAGGCTGGCAGACAGAGATGAGTTATTGGATTTAAATTCACCTTACCATCGGTTTCTGGTGGGGTTTGAAGACGTTTTTAGTCAAGCTCGGAGTGGGGCAACCCACTGGCGGATCCAGGGGAAGGCATTTGGGGCAAATGTCTTCCCCCACATTGGCAGCGCCCGAAATCGCTTTTCGAGAATCAGAGAAAACTTCACAACTTTTCTGAGGAAATGTTGGTTAATCACACTGCACAGCAGTGCGCAAGGAATCGAAATCCGAGTTTTTTAAAATTAATTCCGAGAAACCTTTTTGGGGTAAGGCCCCGCAGTGTCCAAGACCGCTTCCTGGATCCGCCAGTTGTGAATAAGTCACGGTCGATACCGAGCTTCGGCGGGACCAGGCGCTGTATACGTTGTTCTTTCAATGAAGAGGTGGACAGACACCTAGCCCCACATCCTACTGCTATGCCCGTGCTTCTGTGGGTGAAGCACTAAAGCATCACGGAATCCCACAGGACCTGCGAGTCGACGAGGTGGCCGCTTTGGCCGCCGGGTACTGCAGCTCCCTGGAGTTGCCTGGGACCGATGGCAAAACAACAGCTCCGGCGGTGCCCCTATGGGCCGTAGTAATTAGTGAATTCCTGTAATGTAGAGATCATATCCTCAATAATCTCCATTACCATTCTATATTCCTAAACAGTATGACAGAACAATTATGCTTGCCTACGTTCAGGCATTACCTCTGATGGTCATACGCCCAGTACAACATGTGTTGTCTGTCAAACAACAATCGACGACGGGATCCCTTCTCATCATCTCTTAAGCCATCGGTTGTCAATTCACCCACCCCGTTTCCCTAAAAATAGACGGTCAGATTCGGCCTTTACGACCCCTCTAGATTCGCCAGAGACGGGATCAGATCGCCGTTATTGCACCCGTCGGCCGTCTTAGTGTCTTTAATACTATATGACAGCTTCGACCACGGACGTCGGACGGGGTGATCGTTCCACGAATGTACGCACCATCCAGGCCTAGGATGCATCGGGGTTTAAAAGATTGCAGTCTGTAGATCAATCAACATAACAATGGTGGTATGCAACCACATTAAAATATCTCCCCGGCTCCCGCAACGTTCCAACGCCCCTCCGTTATGCATTCGCCTTGTGTGTCCGCCGAGCCGGCTTGCCTCCAATGACGTCATCGGCCGGCCGGCGGCGTTCAAGGTCAAACGGCTGGTGTCCTTACCTGGTATATAGGGCCTTGGGTGGACCATTCTAAATCAAGATTAAGTTGGTAGCCTTATTTCTTGGCTGGTATTTAAAGGAAATTTGGTTAAGCCAAATTTTGATGCCTTCCTGATATACCTGTTACAATTTAGTAATAGTCTGCCACCTTCAAATTCCGACTAGGTATTCATCAAAACCAGCAACCACAGTCAATGCAGTGATGACGTTCGGTAATTTGTCATGTTCCTGATGCTAGGTAATGGGGCGTATCACTGGCCAATCTTGCTAACGAGCATGGTCTATTTCGAGTAAGATTAGCCTTATATTGAATGGGATCAAGTCCGCAGACTATTCCTTGTACTTAATTTTGTCTGTATGGGGCCAACCCGTTCAGTAATTCCCATCAACCAGACTAAGTGATAGACAAAAGGAATTACCATGAGCTCACATGAAATGGCTTTAGCAGTGTTGTCTTGGTCTGTGCCGCCCATTAATGGCTGGGGAGTTATTGTATTAGCTAATGATTGGTCAATTTTTAGCAATTGTCTGAATTAGATGGCACAAGGAGCTGTTCCTATTAACCTTTCTGATCATGATGAGAATTTAACTGTTAGTTTATTTCTTGGCTGACACTAATGTAAATGAAAGAAGAAAAAAAAACTGTGACTGAATTTGGGCGTTGCTTACCTGATACTGGTTTGTAATAGTCGGCCCTCCGTAATTTCAAAATATTCTTCCAAACTATAATCACAGTGGTGATATTCAGTAGCTTTCCATGTTGCACATGAGATCGGGGTGGAGGCTCGGGATGCTCGGCGCGGCAAGGTCACATAGTTGCTCATGCCCATCAGTCATCAGCTGTGTCAATAGCAACAGGACGGGTGATCCTTGATGTTTACCAGGCCAGCCAGGGACCGCGGATTCCGGGGGGCAGGGTGTGCCATTGCACACCCTGAATATCCTGAGGGTGTGCAAACACCTATTTTTGCACACCCACAGTTCGTTGTGGGGGCCCATGCGGCCCTGGCGCTTGAGTGTCCCAAGCCGATTCTCGAGGGCCCCCGCGCGAGCCTGATGGTCCCGCACCGGTGCCTGAAGGCGTGAACAGGTTCTAGTGTTATCTCAGGGGTTATCTCAGAACCCCACCCACGCCATTTTTTAGCGCTCCCACCGGCTCTTGAGGGCCCAGGCCGATGCCCGAGGGCCCCAAGTCGATGTCTAAAGGTCCCCCGCCGGTGTCTGAGTACCTACATGGCTAGCTCAGGGATCCACGCCAGTTTCTGAGGGCCCTAACCGGCTCTTGAGGGCCCCTTGCCCCCTGCCCTCCTTAACCCCTCTTGGGGCCGATGCCTAAGGGTCCTGCATCAGCACCTGAAAGCCCACAGAGTTATCTCAGGGCCCCATACCAGTTTCTGAAGGCCCTCACCGGCTCTTGAGGGGCCCCAGACCGATATCCAAGGACCTCTGGCCAATGCCCGGGGGAGCAGGCCGATGCCCGAGGGCCCCAAGCCGTTACCCGAGGGCCTTACACAGCTATCTCAGGGTATAATGCCACTTTCCGAGGACCCTAACCGGCTCTTGAGGGCCCCAGGCCGATTCCTGAGATCCCCAGGCGGATGTGAGAGGGCCGACCGACTGAGGCGGCCCCTACGTCAGTTTCTAAGGGCGTCCACGACCGCCGTCTGGTCAAAGCTGATCTCTGAGGGCCCTACGCAGGTTTTTAAGTCCACTCAGCTCTTGTTTAGGATCTCACACCGGCCTCTGAGATCGGATGGCTTATGCATGCCGCAGAGGAGCCCTTACCGGCTCCTGAGGGCTCCGTGCTGATAGTTGAGGGCCCCATGCCAATACTCGAGAGTCACTTTCAGTAATCTCAGCGCCCTACACCAGTTTGAGGAACGCCGTTCGGCCAAGGCTGACCTCCGAGGAAAAGCCCTTTGCAAGCCTCGGAGTGCCCTCACTTTCTTTTTTAGGATCTCACACCAACCTCTGAAGTCGCAGGGCTAAAGGATGCTTCTGATAACCCTCACTAGCTCGGACCTAAATCGATGCATGATGACCCGACAGAAGTGCCTGAGTAGCCCACACAGTTATCTCAGGGCTCACACCAGTTTCTGAGGGCCTACACGAACGCTTTTTGGCCAAGGTCGATGTCTCGGGGCCCTATTCAGGCATCGAGGCTACTCGGGCGCCAAGAGACGGTGGGGGACCTCCAGGCGAGCTTGCTTGGTAGTAGTTGGTACCCCATGGAGCCGGCGAACGGTGTCAAAGAGCCTGGTGTGGGGGCCCAAGAAGTGGCGTGGGCATCCATATTTCTATGTACATGTAACATGAGGTATTCCAGAGGCCGTTATGGGACCTTCAAAGACCGTGTGCGGTGCGCCGGTGATTGCCGGCGTTGGGTCTCAGGAGCTGGCGTGCGGCCTTTATGGGGCCCCAAAGCCAGCGTGTGGGCCGTAGAGCAATGGGGAAGCTAAGAGGGCCGGAGGCCAGACCCCCATAGGTTATAGGGGCCAAATCGATGGGCCCAAACATCCCGCCGGCCGTGTTTTATTTTTAAACTAATTCATGTAATCCATGATAAAAAGAAGTGTACCAACATCAACTGTGCAAAAGGGCTCTCTGAGGCCCGTAGGGGCCCTTGAAGGTCACTGTAAGCCTTTAGGGGCCTGTTTGGGAAAATCGGAGATCGATTTGGATCACGTTGCATGTATGCATGTGCATTTACTCTGCTAATGCATCTCCTGACCGTAAGATGCTCGCTCAGTCATCTTACGACCGTCAATTTTGAAGGTTTTCCCGCCCCGCTTCCTTAGAACCGGCTTATTCCGGAGCAGTGGCGGCGCTGACTTTTTGGAAGGGGCCCGGCGTGAGATGGGGGCCCAATCGCCACATCTTGCACACCCTACGAGAATTTGAATCCGCGGTCCCTGAGGCCAGCTGTGGGGAGTGCTTGGGGCAAGGAAAATGAATTAACTCGCCTTGGTGTATGTTAACTGAGCTATCATGTAATCCTTCTAATTTACATATCTTAATGATTTAACAAATGTTTGTGCAAGGGTGTAATCAAAGTACCTTCTATGGAGACGTTGGTCTCATGCTTGAAGAAGGGCTGGGGTTCACATTTCGTTAGTTTGTCTCTGGCTGTTAAGTCCTTTGATGCGATGTGATGGAACATGTCTGACTAATCTTGTTAAGGTGCGATTTTCAAACCCAAACGCGATTGGTTGCCCAAATTTGAGTGGGATCACGCCCACGTCCTGTTCATTGTGTTAAAATTTATCTTTGTGCGGGGATCAACCATTCACATAATTGCCATCAATCAGTGAAGTGATTGCAAAAAAAAAGATTCAATTATCATGAGCTTACATGAAATGATGCTTACAAAATTTCACCTATGGCTGTCACCTATGGCAGATGGCCTCACAAATTTATCTAAATTTTGGTACACAGAAGTTGAACATATAGCCAATTGAAACCATCAAACACTTAAAAATTCACTCGAACTGGACTGATACAACGAGCAAATGACACCGAAGTAGACCAGGCGCACTTAACCTGACTCGAATTATCATTTCTTCCCAGTCAGGATGATCAAACGGCGTGCCGGATTGATCGCGTCGGGGGCACAACTGAGAGCTGTGTAAGTCGTCGCGCTTCCCCGGTCGGCGGTGGTATCGGCGGCATCCATGGCGTGAGATTCAACGACTTCCTTGACCGATCTTCTTCGGTAACATTAGCACGCTGTCGCATTTACTCACTGAACAATAAGGTATCAACCCGCTTGGTTATCAGTAACTTGACCGTACTCATGCGTTAAAAGCTATCGGTTTTTTTTTCCAAGGGCTTAATTTTGTGAGATACCGGGATATAACCGAGTTTCGCGTCGATATTATGAGAGACCCTGTTATCGTTAGGCGAAGTCAGCACGCATAGTGTGTACCACCGCTGCGACTTCTCACGGCAGGACTGGGAACCAGAGCTTATTCTAACTGACACCAGACGGCACGCAAGTGCTCATCAGTCTGTGCGGTGGCGCTGGCCGGACCGCGCGTGGTCGGCGCTAGGTAATTCTTTGTAGGTGGCGCTAGTGGCGTGCCGTTCTGACCGGGGGTCACACCGCAAGTGGAATTGACGCTTGTGGATGCCCAAAGTGGCCCTTCCCTTTCATGCTGTGGGATGGGTTTTGCAGTAAGCCTGTACGGCTGCGCGCGGAACCGTGAAAGATTAACGAAAACCCGAGCTAACCGCATCGAACTGAGGTCTAATTATGAACGTTACTGAGTTCGTTGCACGAACCTCTTTGTCGTGGTTGCATAATTTTAAGGTCGTGCCGCGCGTTCAGGGGTCTGGGAAGGCGATACTTAAACTTGATAAGACAAACATGATTTAAAATGCCGATTACTACGGAGTGGGAAACCCTATCACTTGTCCTGTAACCTATTCTTGTTAGAGAAATCCTGCACGAGCACGTATTGAACGGTTTGTAATACGTATTGAACGGTTCGATGTAAATGTGACCACCTTGCGTTCCTCGAAGCAACGTAAGGCGTCTATCATGGGTATGACAAAAATGCGTAATAGTAAGCTATGACTGGTTTGGGTTCTCAATGCAAGGATAAATGTAACCGATCGCTTGAAGGTATCCTTGCCCGGGGACCAAGCGCTGAATTCACAGGACAAGTCTTGACGATATGTAATGAGGCGCATTTCTGATTTCACCTTCCGTTAAAAGTTGGTTTTATTGACTCCTTGAGACTTTCATTAATAGACGGCATTATATTAGGCGCTCGAGTCACTATTGGCGGCGATTTTTCGTTAAATGTCGATTCAAGTCTAGGGTGCGTGTGTTCGTCACGGCTTTCTGAACGCTGATGGTAATTAGGCGAAACAAGGCATGAATTGGTGGGCTGACGGTTGGTGAGGCGGGTATTCACTTACAGGTGAAAAAAAAGAACATTTTGGAACTTCGCATAAACATAAAATATTGTATGCTAGTGACTGGAATTAGTACCAAATGACTGTTCATTTCGTGAAAATTCTGGACGACATTAATCTCATCTGCTTTCGGTATACCCAATGGACCGCACAATGAAGTGTTGCTGACTCAAATCTGGGTTATAAGCCAAGCCCGGCGCTCATAGCTCCGTCGTGGTGACAGTTGACCCCCTGGCCCGACCGACCGCTCCGCTGCGTGTACATAGTGTTCAACCCTGGTCGCTCTGTGCGTGGTGCGCGGCGTCATGTTTTGACCATCTGACCACTAATCGTAAGTGGTTGTTTCTGGCGTCAGTGACCTCCTTGATACTCGTCTCGCAACGCAAAATAGCTACCCCTTTCCCTTTCCCAGACAGGTTGTTTAAATTTTCACGCTTTATTTTACACTACACGGACAATTAATGACAAACTAACCAATGTGCTATTGGTAAATCGTACTCGAGATTGTCAACTTGTCAATCCCGTTGTTTACTTAAACCTAACCCTAACAGGCGCGGCCTACCTTAATGCTTAATTCTAGACTTAATTAGTGACAGCATCGCGGCGCATCAAGTGACACGTTACCAAATGGTTCCGACCATTGGCGGCGCGCTGGCCCGACGGACGGGGACCGGTGCCGCATGACGTCACTTAATGATGTCAGAACTTTCACCCCTCCTATCCCGTCCTCACACCTACCCCCGGCCCTGGCGGTCGCGTACAAAGGAGCGTAAATGGTCGGCAAATGGTCCCGGCTCCGACACAAATGTAAATGAACCATTGCCGCACTGCCGCCCCGATTCCCATCATTCAACCCCGCAGCTGTCCCTATCTGCTAATGGTGGCAAGGCCTGACCCTACGGGACGGTAGGTCTAGACTGGGGTAGACGCCCGGTAGATATGGGGGAAGGGGGAGAGAATGCGTGTGTGGTGGGCATGGCTGGAGGGCTGGGAGTGGCAGGCAGCCTTCTGCTGATGACTCACTTGATTTTGGCGGCGTCGAAGATTGGTCTTGTTCTTGATGAGTGTTGCACCAGAGAGTCAGAGGAAGAGAGCACTGGTCCCGCCGGCAGAGACTCCCCGGGTGTCCTGTCCCTCTCCTCTTCTGCGGTCCGATTTTATTCCTTTGGTTATCCGGTTCCGGCGGGGGGTCGATTTCTGTGACCGGGACAGTTAATCGGTCCTTTCCTGGCTGATCTCCGGCGGCAGCCCCTGACCGGGGCTTCGAGAGGAAGCACGTCCGGCGTGGCCGAAGCTTCGGATTTCTCCCCTCCTCCGCTGTTTCCGCTGGAGTCGGCCCCCGTTGCCGGTGTCGGATGTGACGTTTTCACACTCGATTTCCGCCGGGTGTCGGTTCTGGGCTGCGCCGGATGCGACGTTTCCTTTACACCAGCCTGCACCGGATGCCCTTCCTGCCCTGGCTCTAGCGATGGTGGGGGCGGCTGGCCCATACAGCTGCTGCGAACGGATGTCATGGCGCCGGAGTGTCTCGGACTGGCTCGGCGCCGGATGGTTTGTGTGTACTCCACCCGTCGGCGAACGTTTGATCTCGGGGCGTCAGCCGCCTTAATGGCAGCAGCTGCTCGGCGTGTGACCCGGTCTCCTCCTTGGCTCCGGCGTCCCGGCAGACAGGGTACTATGTGAGGCAGTTTATATGTATGAAAAAGGTGAGATTTTGATGAAAAAAAAATGTCACAGCATTCAGCTGTTACATGTACCTACCGGTTGGGTCCCTATCCAGTTCAGTGTACGTGTCGTGATCCCCTATTAGTGTTTCTAACCTACTTTGATACTGCTCACAGGTCATCACACATACAGATCTACCCTTATCTGCAGGTAAAATCATAATATCTTGCCTATCTTGTAGGTCACGTAACGCTTTCCACTCCCCCTTACTGAGATTTTTGCTTTGCGGGGGACGGAAGGAATTGAGAGCTTTGGTGACCTCGAATCTAAGCCTATTCGCTACATCCGGTGTTACATCGTCTGAACGGCACACACTTTCGACCGCCGAAACAAAATCCGCGACTGGAACGCTTGTCGGCGTCGGTACAAAATTGAGCCCTTTACGTAGCACACTGACCTCATCGTCACTTAGGCTTACCCCAGACAGATTGACCACCCACTTATCTCCATTGTCCTCCCCCTGTCCACCAGTCTCCTCCTGCTCACCGGTCTCTTGTCTGTCCTCCTGCTTACCAGTCTCCTGGCCACCGGTCTCCTGCTCACTGATCGTGAGCAGGATACATACCTCGTGGTGGTATGTATTTTGGTAGGTATTTGAGACGTTTGAGACGTATTGTCTTGTATTTTAATGCATTTTAAAGCACGGCTGACGAAGAGAGCAGAAGCTTCCGAAAGCTACCGAATCAATATACGCATTACTGGTGTCGGAGAATTGGTTCCTAAATAAACAACTCTACATTGCTGTACAGCTAATACGCTTTTCACCTGGTGGCCAGTAGAGGAACTAACAGTTACTACAACTGACCGTCAGAAGCACCCAACACACACCGTGCCGCTCCCAGTAACATACCAGGATGTAGACCCCAGTCGGGCAGCGCTCCGGCGTCCGGCAGCCGCAGCTGGTCCAGCAGTGACAGCAGCCGGCCGGCGCTGCCCTCCGGCGCCGTCCGACAGGCGTTCACGGCCACCACCCTGACGGACGGACGTTACACAGTCAGCAGAGAGCCGACACTCGGTCAGCGGACAGTGGCGTTGGGTCACCGGATGGCAGAGCATCGCCGCAGCACACAGACCAGACAGGACTGTGGCGACAACGCAACCCCGTTGGAGTAACATGACCCTAATAAATGCACCGAAAATGCTCTGGTCTGTCTCCATTACTTATAATAATAAAAAAATGAAAGAACAACTGAGATGAGGGAAAGGAGTGAGGCGTCTGTTAGGGTCCCCGTGCAATACGCCCGGTGCGGTGACTGACCTCTGCGCCGCTAGCTGGAGAGCTGGTTCACCCGGCTGACGACCTTCTGTACCTCCTCGGCGGAGAGCGGGTGGCCGTTGGTGGTCCACCGCAGCCCGTCCCGGTAGCCGGCCGCCCCATCCGGCGACACGCCCTGGGGAGTCATAGCATAACACTCAGGCAGGTTCAGGTTTCAGTCCGACACACAGAACCGTCCGGCGACACGCCCTGGGGGCGACATATGGGCGCGCTCAGGGCTCAGGTACAGGTCTTGCGAGATTAAGCGGTAGGTTTTGCACTTTTACATTTCCGGTTATATCTCAGAAACTAATCGATCTACGATGAAGCTATTTTACACGATCATGGCCGGCTTGTTACCCAACAAGTCGATCGCATCTTCAACACTTAAAAGCTTAAGACGACGAAGATATAGCCTGAAGTACACTAAATTTTCTAGGTGCAAAACCTACCGCTAAAACCCGCGAGCCCTGTACCATGCACAAGGGCCCCGGGTGCAGTGTCTGTGTGTCCCTGACTGACCTGCAGCGGAGACGCTGTCACAGAAAGCACCTGTTCATTGCCCAATGGATCCAGCCCAGTTCCGGCCGGCCGAGTGCCCGCACGTACGCAGCCAGTGTTACGGTCTGTGTTCGATCTATGTTACGGTCTGTGTTCAATCTATTTTACGCCCTGTGTAACGACCTGCGTTACGGCTTGTGTTACGGTCTGTGTTACATACCCTGTTCTGGGCGGTCTCCACCTTGACCCTCTTAGCGTCCCAGAGTCGGTATTGGTAGACGTGCGCGTTCTCTGCCGAGACGTCCCACAGGTGAACGAGCAGGTTCTGTAGGCCGACCAGCGTCTCAGCTGGCACCTGAGAAGGTCAGGAGAGGGTAGGGGAGGTCAGTGGTGTACTGGTGTCTGACATAGACCAGCGGACAGGGGGAGGGGAGAGGGAGAGGAGTCTGGTGGCGCAGAAGGACCGTTCCGCGCTTGAAAGTGGACATATCTGAGGACCGTTCCGCGCGCGCTGACACTGCCTCTAGAACCGTTCTGCGAGCAGTCAGACATGCAGACCGGATTGATGTTTTGAAACTTTGACATAATAAACTTTAATTAATTCGACACAGGTACTCTAACCGCATGTGTTTTTTTATATCGCGGACAAAAAAGTGGGGATTGTTAGGGTTAAGCAGGGAGTCACCGATGTTAGATCCCTCTCTGGGTCCTTTCATAGGTCACGGTCCTGACCCGAGATAGCTGAGCTGTGTCGCAGCCCTGACCTCAGGGCTCAGACAGCTGAGCTGTGCACGCCGTCGGCTCGGCCGTCAGTCGCCACAGCCGCTGACGCCAGTGTCCAAACAGCTCCAAACAATATCCGGCCCTGTATAGCAGGATAAGCCATCAGAGGCGGGAGTGATCAATGGAGGGACGCGAAACACTAACGCCAAGGGGATGACAACTGCTGAGGAATAAAGAAACTACATGCAGGTACACTGGGAACACGTCATGCTGAAGTTGACGTGTTCCCAGCCCGTCCTGTACCATGCAGCCCGTTCCGGTGATCACTCCCGCAGGGCCGGATATTGTTGGGAGCTGTTTGGACACTGGCGTCAGCGGCTGTGGCGACTGACGGCCGAGCCGACGGCGTGCACAGCTCAGCTGTCTGAGGTCAGGGCTGCGACACAGCTCAGCTATCTCGGGTCAGGACCGTGACCCCGTATGAAAAGACCCAGAGAGGGATCTAACATCGGTGAGTCCCTGCTTAACCCTAACAATCCCTACTTTTTTCTCCGCGCTATAAAAAAAACACATGCGAGTTATAAAAAACACATCCCTATCAACCAGTCCCAAACAGTGTACCAAATTTGAGCGCAATCGGCGTGGCAGTTCAGGGTTCAAGATATATGAGCAACCCAAAATCGCTACTGCAGCAGCATAACGAACACTCTTGGCCCTTCACTTCGCACGTGTCACGACGCTCACCATGATACATCAGTTGTAGTCAATAACTCACCAAGATACATCAGTTGTAGTCAATAACGAGATGGAAGGGATAGGATTACGTGCAACAAAGAGTAACGCAGGTCAATCAGCCCAGCGGTTGCTGACTTACAAGCCTATTAAAAACGTTACAGGAATACGCTTCGCTAGCTCAAACGTAATAGAGTAGAATCATTACATATATGCAATTGCTACTATTTCCTGGTTTTCTTTATAGGCCAAGGCATGGTAACTGATAACTCTGCTGCCCTGTAATGGGTCCGGCCCGCTGTGGCGAGTGAAGACACTCGCTCTGACTGACTGGACCGCCAGCCGAGACGCTGCTGACTCTGGTGGTGAATGGTGAGCGGAAGAGGAGAAAGTTTACGCCAAAGCTGAAGCAACTCTACATTGCTGTACAGCTAATACGCTTTTCACCTGTTGGCCAGTAGAGGAACTAACAGTTACTACAACTGACCGTCAGAAGCACCCAACACACACCGTGCCGCTCCCAGTAACATACCAGGATGTAGACCCCAGTCGGGCAGCGCTCCGGCGTCCGGCAGCCGCAGCTGGTCCAGCAGTGACAGCAGCCGGCCGGCGCTGCCCTCCGGCGCCGTCCGACAGGTGTTCACGGCCACCACCCTGACGGACAGACGTTACACGGTCAGCAGAGAGCCGACACTCGGTCAGCGGACAGTGGCGTTGGGTCACCGGATGGCAGAGCATCGCCGCAGCACACAGACCAACAGGACTGTGCCGACAACGCAACCCCGTTCCGTTCCGCGCTTGAAAGTGGACATATCTGAGGACCGTTCCGCGCGCGCTGACACTGCCTCTAGAACCGTTCTGCGAGCAGTCAGACATGCAGACCGGATTGATGTTTTGAAACTTTGACATAATAAACTTTAATTAAATCGACACAGGTACTCTAACCGCATGTGTTTTTTATATCGCGGACAAAAAAGTGGGGATTGTTAGGGTTAAGCAGGGAGTCACCGATGTTAGATCCCTCTCTGGGTCCTTTCATAGGTCACGGTCCTGACCCGAGATAGCTGAGCTGTGTCGCAGCCCTGACCTCAGACAGCTGAGCTGTGCACGCCGTCGGCTCGGCCGTCGGTCGCCACAGCCGCTGACGCCAGTGTCCAAACAGCTCCAAACAATATCCGGCCCTGTATAGCAGGATAAGCCATCAGAGGCGGGAGTGATCAATGGAGGGACGCGAAACACTAACGCCAAGGGGATGACAACTGCTGAGGAATAAAGAAACTACATGAGATGATGTTTTTCGTACTCCAGCGTAGTACGAAACACATCATCTCACGCTCTCAGTCCCAGCGGATAAAAACAACACCTAGGAAAGAAACTACATGCAGGTACACTGGGAACACGTCATGCTGGAGTTGACGTGTTCCCAGCCCGTCCTGTACCATGCAGCCCGTTCCGGTGATCACTCCCGCAGGGCCGGATATTGTTGGGAGCTGTTTGGACACTGGCGTCAGCGGCTGTGGCGACTGACGGCCGAGCCTACGGCGTGCACAGCTCAGCTGTCTGAGGTCAGGGCTGCGACACAGCTCAGCTATCTCGGGTCAGGACCGTGACCCCCTATGAAAAGACCCAGAGAGGGATCTAACATCGGTGACTCCCTGCTTAACCCTAACAATCCCCACTTTTTTTCTCCGCGCTATAAAAAACACATGCGAGTTATAAAAAACACATCCCTGTCAACCAGTCCCAAACAGTGTACCAAATTTGAGCGCAATCGGCGTGGCAGTTCAGGGTTCAAGATATATGAGCAACCCAAAATCGCTACTGCAGCAGAATAACGAACACTCTTGGCCCTTCACGTCGCACGTGTCACGACGCTCACCATGATACATCAGTTGTAGTCAATAACTCACCAAGATACATCAGTTGTAGTCAATAACGAGATGGAAGGGATAGGATTACGCGCAACAAAGAGTAACGCAGGTCAATCAGCCCAGCGGTTGCTGACTTACAAGCCTATTAAAAACGTTACAGGAATACGCTTCGCTAGCTCAAACGTAATAGAGTAGAATCATTACATATATGCAATTGCTACTATTTCCTGGTTTTCTTTATAGGCCAAGGCTTTGTAACTGATAACTCTGCTGCCCTGTAATGGGTCAGGCCCGCTGTGGCGAGTGAAGACACTCGCTCTGACTGACTGGACCGCCAGCCGAGACGCTGCTGACTCTGGTGGTGAATGGTGAGCGGAAGAGGAGAAAGTTTACGCCAAAGCTGAAGCAACTCTACATTGCTGTACAGCTAATACGCTTTTCACCTGGTGGCCAGTAGAGGAACTAACAGTTACTACAACTGACCGTCAGAAGCACCAAACACACACCGTGCCGCTCCCAGTAACATACCAGGATGTAGACCCCAGTCGGGCAGCGCTCCGGCGTCCGGCAGCCGCAGCTGGTCCAGCAGTGACAGCAGCCGGCCGGCGCTGCC